AGGGATTCTTCCCTGCTCATGGGAATCATTAGAAAACCACCAGCTAGTTCATTTTTATGTGCATGTAGCACATACCCAGGTCGATTTTGCATCTTTTTAATTCCTTGACAGCTGCCTCTTTGCTTGGGTTTGATCTCTAAGGGCATTAACCTATAAACACCCGAAGCAATTTTCTTCTAGGCTATGACTCTGGAACAGGTGAAAGCAATTTTGACAGAACTTTCCCCTCCTTTGTCTCTCTGAGTGAGCAATAACTGCTGCTTTTAACTGACTGACTCATACCACATGCTGAGCTGCAGGGGTGCAGAGGTGGGAACCACTTCCCCAAGATCACTCACAGTTCAAAATTTGGCAGTTCCCCAGGGCCCAAAATCCTGTAACCCAACCCCGCAAAACCACTTGTGACCTTTTTGTGATTCAGCTTCTCCACATTCACTGGCACTGTGCAGATGCAGACTCTGTGCCCCAGCTCTAACAGCAGAAGTTTTATGGGTTTAATATTTGTAGGTTATGAAGCACCAGAGAATGGAGAGGTGTTTATCACAGATTTGGGTAAGAGGACTGCTTTGTTCCAGCTTTGTTTATTAAATATGTGAAGCCTCAGAGGGCTTTTCTTCCCATAGGACTAAATGAACTTCCCAGGAGTGTGTGGAGATACTGAAGCTGGTGCTGAACTTCCCGAGCACCCAGCCCGGGTGCAGTGCTGTTCACCCAGCCACGGGGCTGCACAGCCACCCCTTCACAGAAACAGCCCCCCCCCACCAGCCAGCACCCAGGGACACAGCCATTCCCATTTGGGAGCCTCCAGAGAAATTAAGACCTCTCCTTCCTGATGTTTCAGGCACTGGGTGATGGCACAGAGGACAGTGACTTGAGGTGATTCCAGCAGAGAAGGAAATGCTGATGTATGTCAAAAGAACCTAACATGAAAGTTAAAAGAATCAATGTCTTTGACCATCAAAATTCTTAGATTTAAGCCAAGCTGGAAGAAAATATTTTATATAAGTGGCAAGTTAGTTGGCCTCATCTTAAATACACACCTTGGTCATATCCTGAAAGTTATACCTACTGAAGGAGTCTGTAATGGGAAACATGAACTGGTCACCAAAGCAAACCTTACTGTTTTGACAACGTGTAGGAAATCTCATGCAGGTGTGTGTGTTGGGCATAGACAGCCCCCCTCAGCCCCAGCCTTCCGATGGACACACAGATTAGCTCAGGGGCCTGGACAGGAGGAGCTGCTTCAGCCAGGGGATTTAATGACATTGTTATCTCTGTGCTAATAACTACTGAATTGTCAGCATCACAAAGCAAAACATCGAGGGAAATAATTATCTGTAATGATCCTACACAATGTTCCAGGTTTGAATCAAAACAAAAATTTGCCCCAGTCTCTGTGGGAGTTTGTTTTATTTCCTGATCCCACAGAGCAAATACCTGGAATGGGTTTGAGGAAGCAGATGAACCTCAAGTTCCCCCTCAGGACGTTTACTCAGGGTTTGTGCCTTCTCCTCTCCCACGTGAAGTGCCACCACGCTGACAGCTCACCCACCCGTGTTTTGCAGTCAGGGATGTGCCAGGAATAAGGTCTGGCCCGTCTGGATCGGCTGCTCTGCTGCTGGGCACAACTCAGGGCTCTCAGGATTAACAGATGGGCATCAGGTTCGGGGCTCTGCCAGGCTGTGTGGCCACATGATGCTGCTGAATGCCACATCCAGTGCCTCGACACATCAAATAAAGATGAGGAAAGGGGAAACATCTTCTCATGGTTTAAGCGGAGGATTAATTTGGAATCTGGGTCTCATTTTCAGCTCTGCTTCTGCTGAGATGAGAGATCTTGAGGGATTGAAATGTCTCGAATCCCCATGAAAAGCAGAGAAAGCCAAGGACGTGGCTGTCCCACAAGTGCCCTTCTGCTCAGAACTGAATTTATTAGATGCAAGGACTCATCTTTTGGTGTTTGGGAGGCATTATTCTGTACTTCTTTTGGTGTATTTCTAAAAACCTGTGGGAGTTTTTATCATTGGGAAATTGTGCCTGGAAGCAGAGCGCCCTGTCAGGCACGAACCCAAGCAGGAGTGTCACACTGCGTCCCGGCAGAGCAGGGTGGCTTCAGCCAAGGTATGGCCATCTCCCAGGAACAGGGAGGTCTTCTCCCTCGGGGAGAAGCTGCAAACACCTGCAGCTCCCAGCCAGTCCATCCACTTGTTGGAGGACAGGATTTACAGGACAGAGAACACAAAATCCTCTGTAAGGTAAAGGAGGAAGGTGAATAGGAGAGGAAGGGCAGATATTTGGGGAAAGATAACTCCTTTGCCCCCATTTGAAATAAATACTGTTTTCCATAAACTCATGAAAAGCAGGCATTAGTGACTTTATTTCTGAGGACTCAGCTGTCTCTGTCACAGTCTGCATCTGGAGGTCCCCCAGCATTGCTATGATACAGCAGCGACATGATAAACTGCTGGAAGCTTGTCTGTGTTAGAGTCACTCCAGAGCAGTGAAGTATGCAAACCCTTGAATTATGTGAGCAAATACACGTGCCCACACTCCCCATCCTTCCCACAAACACATGCAATAAGATTAAATCGTGTCATTACTCATTTATCTCCTGCTACATGCTGCTTCACAACTAACCGCAAGGGCCACGCGGCAGTGGAGGCTGGTTTCTGGCCACCACGACGCTCAGACCTGGGTGTTTCCTGGTGGTATCCATCACGGCCAGCGCAGCACAGGGAGCTGCTGGCGCTGACAGATTACTGTCTGTTGAAATAACTGTGTGCTGACCACAATGAGCAATATGCAGGAATAGGGTATTTTTTTTTTTTTTTTCAGCTTGGAGAGGAGCCAAGGCAGATCGAAGTGACAGTGGGACCGGGGGGTAACTTCACGAAAGGATAATATATTTCAGCTCTGCTAATGACACAGGATACAGCAACCATTATGCTGCAGTCATAATAACCAGGCTGTGTTCTTACCAGAGGACAGTGATGTTGACTAGTATGGATCAATGTAGTAGTGCCTTTTGCCTGACAGCTCCCTGGGCCTCACACAAAAGTGTGTGGTGGATGCCATCAGACTGGTCCTTACATGGAGGCAGGTGATGGGTGTTTCTGTAATGCATGCTGGAGTGGCTGCGAGCGCTTGCGCTCGGGTGGCAGGTTCCTGGTGAGAGGAGCAGGGGAATTTGGGCAGTTGGGATGGCTGAAGGGGTGACTGCCAGCTCATATATGTCAACGCAGCCTAAATAGTATAATTAAACAGCTGTAATCCCTAGGGGGATTTTAAAGTGCATCTATTTAAAAAAAAAGGGGAAAAGTTAGAGCAAAATGCAGCCTGGAGAGGTCTCCAAGGGCAGGGATGGGACCTGCTGTGCCTCCCCAGCCCAGGGCCATAGGACAGAGGTGCAAGGCTGGAGCTGGTGCAGGGTGCCAGCAGACCCTAAGGAAAGCAAATGGAAAAAGAAGAGTGTATTCGTCCTTTATAACTTTATAAACAAAAGTGAATGAAATGTCATGGGAGGGAGTGAAAAACTACAAGGGTTGTCCTCTGTGGTGCCAAAGGGAGGCATAAGGCTTCTCAGATAAAAGGGGAAAATATTATTTGCCACAGCAAGCCAGAGTTTGGGGCAGACTGCTACTCCCTGGGAGAGGAGCATGGAGCTGAGGCAAAAGGCACTTTATCCACCCGGACAGCCCAGGCCTCGAAATCTGTTCATGAAACCCTGGGCTTGACTCACCCAGCATCAGTACAATCCTCCACATTTTGGATATGCATCTGTCTGCAATTAATGGGGCAACTCTGCCTCTAATTGGAATCTAATCTAATAAAACAGCAAGCTTTCCTCTTGTCCTTTCCTCCACTGCACAGGTGAGGGGACCCTTAGCACTTTACCTCTGCAAACACAATTGCTCTTTCAATTTGAAAATGCATTTTCTGACAGACTGCGCAGATGTCAGGAGCAAGCATGGAGCTGGCAGCAAAATTTGACCATCGGACAGATACTGGATCTCCCAGCCTGACCACCAGGGAGATACCAGATATCCCAGTCTCATCACTGGGGAGATACGGGATCTCTCAGCCCAGGACTGGGTGAGCCTCCCCCCAAAGGAGTGACACTGATGTGCCTGTTTGGGACAGGGGTGGCAGTAGGAAAGGTGTTATGAGGATGTCACTGCCTCGTGTTTTGTGACCCCCAGGGAAGGAGCCCCTCTGCCCCAGCCCAAAGGAAACGAGAAAGTCTATGAGTGTCCGTGGTATGGCCCTGGTCCCATCCTCCAGAGGATGAGGAAGGAAGGACCCTTCATCCTCAGGTCTCCTTGCCCAGGGGGGACAGTGCAGCCTGTGGCTCGGCTGGGGACACAAGGCACCCACAGTCCTGGGTCCTGGAGTGGACCCCCTCGTTGCTGGGGTGCTCTCAGCCCCTGCACCTATTCGCCCCCGGGGTCTCCAACCTGACACCCCATCCCCTGCCTGGGTTCCTTCCTCCTCCTTCTCCTCCTCCTCTTCTGCTCAGCGGTGCGCTAGGACCCGGCAGGTGCAGGCGGAGGGATGCAGGTGGGAGGCGGATGGGGGGTACCGAGAGCTGGGGGAGCCCTGGGGGGTCGCAGGGGGTCCTGGTGGTTCCCGGGGGTCCCGACGGCAGGGGGAGGTCCTGGAGGGTCCCGGGAGCTGGGGGTCCTAGGCGGTCCCGGGTGGTTTCCGAGGCTGGGGGAGTCCCGGAGGCTCCGGGGGCCCCGGGGGTTGGGGTGGTCCTGGCCGCTCCCCGCCCCTCCTGGGGGAGGCTCGGCGGGGGAGTTTGCAGGGGAGGAGGGTGCGAGGAGCCGGGAAGCTACAAGACTTGGGGTGAATGGTGGAAGGAAAGGGGAGGGAGGAGCCGAGGCGGGAGGGAGGGCGGGGAGGGGGCGCGGAGGGCAGCGGGGCGCCGCGGCTCCCGGCTCCCCCCCGCTCCCCGCTCCCCGCTCCCCGCCGCAGGGTGCGCGGAGCTCCGCCGGGGAGCGATGGAGAACGGCTCGGCCAGCCCGGGAGCCGCGCTGGGCGGCAGCGGCAACCAGACCCTGGGCAGGATGCCCCGGCAGCCCCTGGAGCTGCAGGTGGTCACCATCCTGCTGGTGCTGCTCATCTGCGGGGTGGGCATCGCGGGCAACGCGATGGTGGTGCTGGTGGTGCTGCGCACCAAGCACATGGTGACCCCCACCAACTGCTACCTGGTGAGCCTGGCGGTGGCCGACCTCATCGTGCTGCTGGCGGCTGGGCTGCCCAACATCTCGGAAGTGGTGGCTTCTTGGGTGTACGGCTACGCCGGCTGCCTCTGCATCACCTATTTGCAGTACTTGGGCATCAACATCTCAGCCTGGTCCATCGCCGCCTTCACGGTGGAGCGTTACATCGCGATCTGCCACGCCATCAAAGCGCAGCTCCTGTGCACCGTGTCCCGTGCCAAGCGCATCATCTCCTCGCTGTGGCTCTTCACCTCCCTCTATTGCCTCATGTGGTTCTTCCTGGTGGACACAACCCAGGTCACCTTCTCAGATGGGGCACAGGTCAGCTGTGGCTACCGGGTCTCCAGAAGCCTTTACATGCCCATTTACTTTTTGGATTTTGCTGTCTTCTACGTCATCCCATTGGGGCTGGCAACTGTCCTCTACGGCCTCATTGCCCGCATCCTCTTCATGAGCCCCCTGCCCACCACCCCGCAGCACTCCTGCCTGGGCTCCATGCACCAGGGCGGCTCCCTCAAGCTCTCCTGCCGGGGCAACAAGGGGGCCCTGAGTTCCCGCAAGCAGGTAGGGGCTGCCCGCCGGGCTGGGGCACACTGGGGTTCAGGCAGCGCTGTCAGGGGTGCAGTGCTTTGAGGGGCATTTTGGCAGGGGATGGGGTGCCCCAATATTTTGCCTCCATCTGTTTGAGGAGTGGAGAGGCTTGGTTTGATGCAAAGAAACCTCTTGCCTCCCCTCCCAAGCCCAGCTGGGCTCTGGCAGCACGGATGGGCTCCCCCTGCTTTGGCTGAGCTCGGCGGAGCAGGACAGGGCTCCAGCATGGCTGGGGAGAGGCAGGAGTGCAGGGGTGTTTGCTGGATATTTAATTACTGATTGCCTCCCTGAGAAGGGGAGTGCTGGGTCACATTATGCCAGCAGGACTCACCTCCCAGGCAGGGTCCTGGGCAGGTCACCCCAGATTTAGAGGAGCAAAAGGAGGGGGGAGCAGGTGTGAACCCCTGCCCTCTGAGACCAGCCGTGGCTGCAGCCCCCGGTCCCTGCAGCTGGGGAAGGCACCTTGGTGTCTCAGTGGTGCGTTTGCCTCTTGGTGACTCCCCTGTCATTCAGCTGCCTGCTTGCTCCCTGTGTCCTTCTCCTCCCACCTACCTGCCCTTGCTCCTCCTCTTTCTCTGTCCACAGGGACAATTACTATCTCTTCCCCATGTCCTTGGACAGGTCAGCATCTGGACATGGGACACTCTTGCCTGCTTGATGGCTGTTTGCAGGAGATCATCCCATTCTGGTTTCAAACCTTCATAGGCAGAGACATGAGCTATTTTAAAGGAAAGGACTGAATCTGGGAGTCTGGCTTAATTCCCTGAAATCACCAATTCTGTTGGGATTTTGAATGATTTCCAGACAGCATGAAATAGGTTTCACCCTGTCTTAAAGTCCTTGTTTTTCCAGCTCAGTATCTTATTGCCTAAGTTGCACAGGAACCTCCATTTCTCAGGAGAGATGATTCAGTTGCAGAGGGGAAGCAAACAGCCCAGAGGACGTGTATTTCTTCATGAACTTCTAAGTCTTTCCAGTTCAGCTTTTTCTCCCTTTTGCTCCAGCACAGAAAGATTTAAAGCAAGTCCTGACTTCTGCAAAAGTACTTGCCTGCTCTCCCAGGGTTGCTGGCTGCTGCAGGAGCCTCGAGCAGGGTGTTCGGCAGCGAGGCCTCTGTAAGGCAGCACCTAAAGGTGCGGGTTGATGGCCCTCTCCTTCCAGAGCAGCCGCTGCGGGGGCTGCGCCGCCCCCCCCGCGGTGCTGTGTGCGGAGCGGCCGTGCTGCACGCAGCATGCTCCAGCATCATTAGGACAAGTGGCTGAGGCCGTTAGTCATGATGGGCACTCCAGCTCCTGGAAACATCTTGTGCTCTCTTTTCTGTTACACTGAGAATTGTCTTGAGGTTGTCATTACCTTCTGAAATATCTTAGCCTGCAAAGACTTCCACTGGCTGGCCTGACATCATAGAGCTGGTATCATTAGGAATAAAGATAGCACTGAGTTTTTAAATTGTAAAGCAGCTTCACAGGGCCTCCAGCTATGGTTTATTGAATGCTTCCTTCTAATTTCACACCAGCAGCTCTTCAAATCAAGCTGTGTTGAGAGTGATGGAGGAAGAAACCCCAGCTGTGCCACCAGTGGCATATGGGCTAGGTGGCTGACACATGGGTTGGTGGCTGCCTAATGGATGCAGTGCTGCACCCCAGAGGTGGTTGCAATTCAGGTTTTTCCATAAATATCCTTCACAAGTTGGATATGACATAGCACGATTGCTTCATTTTATATGTAATCATAGGGAAATTTATATGACTGTCCATAAAATCAGAGGGGACAAAACCAGGATCTGGGTGTTCAACTATTTGATTCAGTGCTGAGGAGATCTGCTGGATGCTTGGTGCAGAAATAAGCGATCTGTGCACCAAAGCCAAGTAAAACTGCACAGCTATTTTGACAAGAGTTTTGGACAGTGTGAACAGGAGTGCTTGGAGCATAAACAATCTAGGTCCTGTCAGAGTATCCACCTGAGCCCTGCCTGAAATCCAACCAGAGGTTTTTGCTGGTGGTGCAATGGATTGAGGAGCAAAAGCTGAAGTGAGTCATGATTCTGCATCTAGTTATGATAGAAAAACCAAAAACCCAACCACCCAGGGAGGAAGAAGGCCTCCGGAGACCCCAAGGGGTCAGCATTGGATTCTGCCTGGAATTTGTGTCCCTGAGCAGGGGCATCCAGGGTCACAGGAATGACATTTCCAGGGAGATGTTGCAGTGTGCAGGAGCCCAGAGGGGCACTGGGGGCAGAGGAGAGGGGAAGCACAGGCTGAGTGCTGGAGAATGGGCAGATCATTAAGAAAGGGATTTTAATATGAGAAAGAAGATAGCTGAATCCATTCATGCCAGCAGAGCTGAAAGATGGAGAAGCTGGGTAAGGGAAGGGGCTTAAAAGCAAGCACAACTTGGACCACTGGACACTGCTTTGCAATAGCTGATCCTGGCTGAGGAGCTCATAAGCAGGTTTCTTTGCTCCTTAATCACCCATGTCCAGGGTGAAAAGGAAAGGGCAGCCTGACAGGTAATACCATCAACCTCTCATGCTCCTGAGAAGTGCTGACAGCCTTTGAAAAATGTCACCAGGAATTTCCACGGAGGCCTTTGGTAAAGGGTCTTGTCCTGAGCATCAGAAGTGAGGATACAGCATCAGAAACTGCTCTGGTAACAAATGCTGGTGGTCTCCAATCTGACAGGATGATGAGGAGGCTGTGAAAGTGATGCACAGGCTACCAGTGGGGAAAACTGAAGTAAGGGTGTAGCTTCTTTAAAATGCAATTGCCATGTAGACTAAACCAGTAAAGACACCTGCCAGGAGATCAGAGCAGGGTGGGAGGGTGGGCGTTGGGTGTGTGTAGCTCAGGTGGTCACGCTGGCCAGGGTACAGGCACCCTCCACTCCTCTGGCCTCTCTTTATGGTCAGAGAGGAACTGGCTCTTCCAGGCCCAGTGCCCAGAGTCCCCTTATTTTCTCCCTTGACTCTAAAGAGCCAGGATGGCTGGGGGTTTTTGGCCACAGAGATGCAGAGTTTGGAAATAAAATTCTCACTGTGTGCTCTTATGCAGCCCCAGCACTGAAGTGCTTGCTTTTCAGAGCATGAAGATGCTGCTTTTCCCTTACTGGTGCCTCTAAAACACATACGTCCAGAGCAGGACAACACAAGGTGTGAGGTTTTGCTGTATTTATCACCTTGAGAAGCAAAGCACCACAGGTACAAAGACCAGCCACCGCCGAGCATGTATTTCACCTGCCGGACAGGGACCACTAGAGGGAGTGGGATCCCTAAAAAAAGAATGCTGAGGCTCGGGATGGTGGTGCCTGGACAAGGAGGGGTGACACTGGCTGGGGACTGGGGAGAAGCGCCTGTGGCCTGGGGGACAGGGGCTTGACCCAGGTCTGCGAGAGGAGTTGGGCTGGAAGGGCTCTGCAGGGATGCAAGATGCTGACCACCTTGTATGGAGAGAGAAGGATGCTCATTGCAGGTTTGCTCCGGGAGTTACAACGGGCTTGGCCCACAGAGGTGCCTGGTGGAAGATGAGCTGCCCTTTAGCTTTGGCCTGGGGACCCTGGATGTAGTCAGGGGTCTGTACAGAAGATATTCTTGGCCATCCAGCAACAACACTGGTTTACGTGCTCAAAAGTGGTTTTTCAGTTAAATACCAACTGGTCTAGTAAAACGTCCCCTTCTGCCTACAAACCTTTGTCTTCCACCCTTAGCTCCTTTACAGCTGTTGTGTGCACACACTATGCACAACAGAGTTGTTGCAAAACACTTGTCAGAAATATTGTTGTTCCTGAACTGGTGTTTCCCTGAGGGATGCTCTGAGGCTACAGCAAAGCTCTGGGTGCAGCTGTTTTTTTGGGGCCATAATTCAGGACTATTCTAGTTAGGGATAAAGATAAAGAAGTAAGTTCAAAGCAGCTCGAGTGTGCTATAGTCACTTACCTCAACAAGGTAGAGTGAGGAAAGGCATGGGCACAGGTTTCAGCCATGCATGCAGATGTCGCTGGAGATTTCTTTCCCCATGATAGAGATATGAGAGTGAGCTTGGGATAGATCATTAGGTTTTATCCAGAGGAGACATCCTGTGTCAACACAACTTTGCTAAAGGCTCACCCAGGAGAACACAGTCCGTATGGATGGTTGATTTTAAAAGTCAAATTTCAATCTTACAGCAAGCTCAGGGCAGTGCTGCCCATCCCAGCTTGTGGTCTGGGTGCAGTGTCCTTGGGGAGCACTGAAGGCATTTAGTGAAGACGGAGGTAATAAATCCTCATGGTACTGTTTCCAGTCAGCTTCCCCTCCCAGGACAAAGCTTTTTTGCAGGGCTGTAGGACGCGTAGCAGGAAGCTCTCTTTGGGTGACAGCACTCTGTGGTATCCCGGGGTCTGGAGGGAGGTGCTGGGGGCTTGCTCAGGTGGGAGCTGGGCAAGTACTTGCTGGCACCACTGGCATTTCTATAACAACCAGCCAAAAAGCAGGGGCAGTTGTGACCAAAAAGCAGATGAATCACTTTCTTTTCCAGACTACATTTCTTTTGGTCTCAGAAAGGACAGGAATGGGTTTACTTTTCAGCCTTATTAGGATGCAGTCTCCCTGGCATTGTCACTCGGATGCAAGGTTCAGATCTCTCTTCACAAACATCGTGGGTTCCTGAACAGTAAACCAAGGCAGAGTTACAACAGTTGAAAAGCCAAAGATGTTTCAGTCTCAGGAGACAGTACATGAGCAGTATTAATGTGTTAGATTTAAAGGAGAAAATTCAGCCATACAGAAACCTCCTGCCAGAAGGGACACCTGCCAGAGAGCAGAGCTAAGTGTATAAAAGCTCAAGGATTTATTCAGAGCAGCCCTGCGGGGGTAACTTTGCACCTTGGGAACTGAGACAACTGCTGAGTGAGGAGTGCCTGTGTCTCAGTGAGGACCTGCAGAGATGTGGTATTTTGCAGCAATCCTGCTGCCCAGGACTGCTGAAGTTGATGGAAAAACTCTCGCCAAGCCCCGAGACAGCCCTTTGACATGGACCCTTCTAGGCAGGATGGGGACATGCTCAGTCTCTGCATGGGATGGAAAAGCACAGAGCCTGCCCTCATGTCCCAGGAGGAACAAACTGCTTAGTAGTGGGGAATTAAATTCAGACTGAAATGGTACTTAAGATCACTTAAGATGAGGAGATGGTTGCATTTTGCTGTAGGGCTCAGCTGTTTAGTACAGTTTTGTTCAGATCAACTTCATTCAGGTTCTTGGGAAATAAACCTTAGATACACCAGAAATATGGCAAAAGCAATTGCCTCTGCAAGCCCAAGAGGCAGGTCTGTGGAAGGCAGCAGGCTGGCTGAATGCTCATTCACTGCTGTGTCTATTTGCTTAGATGCTTAGAACATGGGTCCCATCCATATGCATTGCTCATGTGGCATACGGTGTTGAAGCAAAATCTGCTCCTTCCTGGGCTGATCTGGTATCTGGGAGCAATCTGTTCTCAGGTCTTACAGCGCAGATGACAGCGATACTGTCTCACCACTGCTGTCAGGATGCTTATTCCCTTGGCAAGGGGTGGTCGATCCTGGATTGCTCTGCCAACCTCGGTGGAGGCAGCAGCTACAACCATGCTGGTACGTAGAGGCTTTGATCGTGGTCAACTGTGTGCCAAGCAGCTGCTGTCTACTCCCAGCCTATCTGCTCAGGAGTATTTCTATAAACCAGATTATCTCTCTATCAGTTGCACGTTAGATAGGGTGGCTTGAAACCAAAAGCTTGTGAGATGGCTCTTGCCCTTCTGCATCCAGTCAGCCCTTGTAAAAGGCATTGAAAAGCTCCAAAGCTCCCTTTTACTGACACATCTTGTCCAATCTCTCATTTGGACAATCTCTTATTGGTAATAAACTGTGGCAGCAAACATGCTGCAGTCTTAGCAACAGCCTCAACACTCACTGTATCACTGCAAGAACTTATTCTGGGAAGTGTCCTCAGATTCCCATTAAACCACACACAACAAAACACTTCTATTTCAGCCTCAGCTTGACAATAGTCCCTTTCTTGTAAGGAAAATTTTGTTGCTACTACCAACCACCCCCAGTTTCTACTCAAAGCATTACAGGAAGGCATAGTTGCTTGTGACTAAGTAAAAAAAACACTCTAGGAAAAGCTGAGAGACTGTGAATGTGATCTAAATGCTTATTTCCATACTGAGAACTGAAGTTGTTGCACAACTCCCCTTCTGACGTTTAAAACACCACTGTCTTAATATGCATGTGACGTGTTTACTCATATTTTCCTCCTTGGGGATGTGTGTATTTTGTAAGCATTTACTGGAGGATGATTGTCACCTACCAGAAATAGCTGTCAAAATTATTAGGATCACTGGAGTTTCAGTATAAAACCCCATTTTCTTAAACAAGCTTGAGTCAAGCTGTGGGCAATTACTGCTCACTTCTGAATTCCCAATTTCTTCTTGTTCCTAATATGTTAATGTGGCAATTCCCTAGTGTGCTGCAAATTAAAATAACCCATACCAACTAGCTAAGTAACTCCCACATCAGCACAAGTAGGAATTTGTGTACAACTCCAGACAGTCTCCTCTGCTCTCAGTGCTGCTCTGTACCAGGAACCTATCCCTGGGAACAGCATAGCAGACATAGGAAACCAGAAGATCCTAGGCAGGGAGTTGGTATATATCCCACGGCATGTCCAAAAGTTAGGACCTCTTTTGCACAAGTTATTTTCCACATTGATTTATTATTCTGCAAAATTTTCAAATTTGTTTTGTGGTACAGAAATTCCCATCATTATCCCAGGCCATTTCCAGGCTGGTAGGTGCTTGTCCTGAAGAGCTTTAAAAGCTCTTCAGTGTTAGGTGAAAACCTGTCATTTAAGGTCTTTATTTATGCAAGATGGTTTCATGAAAAAAAAATGGGTCTGAAGAGGAATAGCCGCATGGTTTGGATGCCTATTTTAAATGCTTAGAGAGAGATATAATCAGTATGTAGACTGATTTAGCTGTCTGCACCATTTCTCCAGGTGGGAAAGCTTTGCGGGAGATTTAGCATTATCTGACTATTTCTCTTTTTGTATATCCCCACTGTCAAGGTGACCAAAATGCTGGCTGTCGTGGTGGTCCTCTTCGCCCTTCTGTGGATGCCTTATCGCACACTGGTGGTGGTGAACTCCTTCATGGACCCTCCGTACCTGAACATCTGGTTCCTTCTCTTCTGCCGCATGTGCATCTACCTGAACAGTGCCATCAACCCCATCATCTACAACCTCATGTCGCAGAAGTTCAGGGCTGCCTTTAGGAAGTTATGCAAGTGCAAAGAGAAGGGTGCTGAGAACCCCGCGCCGTACACTGCCCCAGTGTACTACACCGTTATGAGGGACTGTTCTCACGACAGCTCCGATCACAACGTCACCGAACAAGAAGATCTGCACAGTTTCCCTGTACCTGCGAAGAAGAACAAGCCTGCCAAATAAATCCTGGGACCCTGAAACAACGCAGACAGTGGGAGCTATGTGGCTGTATGCACTGTGCCAACAGAAATTGTTTTGGCATTGCAGCAAGCTTAATTTAATACCTCTCCAGGGCATTTAACAAAACAGATTCTTAGAGGCAAATTAATTTGCTTTTCCTTAATGTTAATTTATTCTTGTTTGGTGAAGTGTTAGCCACAGGTCAATGTTTAGCATCTTTAAAGAATCTGTAGTTAAGTATAGCAGTTCAACGCCATTCTGTGTTACATGCAAGTGCAATTGCTTGTTGAGTTGGGTCAGAGTATTGAAAGGAAATCCAGGAAGAGAAGGGCATTCAAGGAAAAACAAAACAAAACAAAACAAAACAAAACAAAACAAAAACAAACAACTCTTTCTGCTGGACCAGTTTTCTTATAGGGTAAAATTCACCTACTGGAATTTACACCCCTATAAAACAGAGGCTCCATGTGAGCTGCTCCTCTAGAGACCGTTTAGAGTTAATGGGGATAATTAGGCACTTCCAGGAAGCAGCTCCTCTCATGTCAACATAGTCCTCTGAGGAATACACATACCTGCTGAGGAGAGGAAAGCCTCCCGAGATGTGACTATTTCTGTCCATTGACTGTAAAGGGACTCTCTCAGGTGGAGACTCTTACGTTAGGTAATAAGCAAAGTTGGGTGTCATGAACCTCACCTCCTGCTTCTGGAAATTCTGCAGTGCTGGTAGCACATAAAGCCAAGGTCCAGACCAGTTGGATTTGTTACAGAAAAACAAACAAACTAATAACGAGTGTTCCCTAAGGTAACAGTAATAATTCCAACATTGTGGTCTAAGCTTCCTTCGGATCATTTTATCTCTTCTGTCCAAATTCCTCTAGTTGTTTCAGCTGGATACTATAGCCTTGTCCTGTAAGCCCCGCTGTGGTGTAGCTCCGTATTGCACTCCATCCCAGCTACAGTTGCATTTCAATGGCAAGTGAAGCAATTCTGTTATTTATTGAGAATAATTTGTGAAAGTACATCAAGTGTTTTGTAATAAGTGACACAGTGACCATAAGACATTAACAATACTCATTACTGCTGTAATTCTGTGAGCAAATTGGATATTCATAACCTGCGGCGTCCAAGAAATCAGCCCAAGGACACTCACCCCAGACATGCAAGATACTCTCTGGATTAGAGTAAAATGAAAAAGATTAAATGAGCCAAACACTAAGGCTCTTACCAAATAAAACAAGTATCAGCCACCAGTAACTCTCAAGTGACTGTAAAAAATTCTTTGAACAGCCAAATCAGCCTTACTAGTCAACACTGTTTTTCACCAAACTATAGAGTCAAAAGAACTTAGAATTTTGCATCCCCTTTGGAAAGTATCTGTGTGATATTTTTAAGAGCACAAGATGTTAAGTAACCATTATGCATCTTTAGGAATTTACTTCCCTGGATGAGTCAGAACAAGACTTCACCTTCCACGAATGTGTTGGGGACTGTCCAGGATCTATTTAATTTTGGTGTAGGGTTGCTTTGCATGTATGATTATATTGTGAGTTATTAATCTACTTTGCCCCCGGCATAACTGTAGGATGAGAGAAGAGAACATTGGGTTTTTTTGCAATTATTTGAAACTGTGCATGTTTGGAATTTAAGGATTCATGTAATTTTTGTGTTCTTTTGTGTATATTGGGAATTTAGGAACAAAGTTTCTCTTTATTGTTGTTAAGGAAGTTCTGCACAGAGATTTGGGATTTGCTTCTAGAAGAAATGGAAGTGGTTTTGCTACAATGTGAGAAAATTGTTTCATTTAGCAAGAAACGAAACCATTTGCTTGTACCAATCTTTTCTCTAGTACAGACTTTTTTTCCTCCTTGGAACAAATTTTGCCTTAGCAGCTCAGAACAAGCCATTTATAAAAGCATCTACAGACAAACCAGAGCAGTAAGGATCAGGGTGTCTTGAAGTAACACACAGGTAGAGCACAGGAGGAGGATGGAGAGCCCCGAGTTGGCTGCTGGTCTGCTGAAAGTGGCAAAAAAAAATACAGGGCTGAGGTTTGGATGTGTCAGCTCTTATTGAGGCTAACAGGAACAATTTATTGCATAACCCAGCACTAAGCTGGGCTCCTGTGCTAATGAGTCCTTCTTACAATGCATCAGAGACATCTCAAAATATAACAACTTCTTCCTCTTAAGCTACTCCATGCCCTGTCTATACAGCACACAAATTAATTTTCTTCATCTTCACAGCCGACGGTGGCTTGCACTCCCTGGGGCACAGGGCCCTGGGCACACAGGCACCTTTGGGTGCACAGCCCACAGCCAGCCTCGACAGCATCCCAGAGAGCAGCATCCCACCCTCTCCTCTCCCCTTTCCCTCCCTGCTCCCCAGCCAAATAATCTGTACAGCTACAAGGGGATGGGGGATAGCAAGGAAGGAAAAGAGGGGGAAATTAACCTTTCTCAGCAGTGCAGTAAATTGGTACCACCCTGTAAGCACGCTGGGGTTGGAGAGGACGAGGAAAAGCTGGGACTGGGACTCTGCAACCCCATGCTGTTTGCTTTGGTACAGTCACTAGATCACAGCAGGAAAGCAGAGCCCAGCTGCCCTCGGGGCTGCAGGCCTGGGGGGGCTGTGGAGCATGGTGCCTCCCTGGGACACGAAGCACTGGCAGCATCTCCTCAGGGACAGGCTGTCCTGCACCCCCCAGCCCTTCACCCTGTGGCTGCACATGCAGAGAACAGCAGGAAAGCTGACTTTGAGCTAAGGTCACACAGGAAGAGGATTTACAGTCGGAGCTTGGAAACCCACCTGCATCCTGACCCAAGACATTTCTCAGGCATGGGATGCGCAGTTTGACAGACGGCCTTTATCTCTGCAAACCCAAGTAGCAGCTCAACTCTGAAGCATCTCCAGCAGAATCTTTTCCGCCTCCCTATCACATTTTCAGTCTTCACTGTTCCCCTTGATGCTTTTTCACCCCAGACAGAGACATCCTAAAAGCACTATTCTCTTAATTAAATTTCAAACCCAGGCCAACAGCTTACTGGTAGTTCTGAAATTTTTGTTCAACATACTTGGGATTCAATTAAAACCCACTTCTCCCCTTTCTGCACTTATCTGCCAAGTACTGTGTGACCCTTTGATATTTTTTGAGAAATAATTGGCAGATAAATTCCCCCGGCACCATGAGATCTCCAGCAAATGCACCAGAGCATTAAATTCTGAAATGAGGAATGAGTTCCTGCTCCTTCTCTCTGTACATATTCTGACATGTTAGGAGGAGTTGAAAGACTCAGGTGGAAGTGGAGGCAGGAGGTCAGCACTCTTCTTGCTAAGGAGATGCTGGTTGAGAGGACAGGCAGCTGCATGCAGTTAGGAAATAAATCACCAGCAAAAGGGAATTAAAAGAAATATCGCATCACTATAACTTCCTCTGGATATCCAGGGTTTGAATAAAAACCTTAATTCCTTATAAGAAATCAAAGACCACCCTTCAAGCTTCAGCCTGAATTACCTTGTACCCTGCAACATCCCACCCTACTCAAAGTCTGAAGCTGCATTTTACCCTCAGCATTTATTTACTCTCAACAGCATGAAGGTAGGCTGCAAGTTTATAAATATGCTACCAGAGAATCTATTACTCCTAAATAATTTACCACATTGAAGCCACTCCTCAATTTGATCTAACCTGTTAGTTTCTTAATTAAAGCCCCTCCAGTGCTTGTTGACCTGATAAAATACCACCTGCTTTCTTTGATTACACAGCAAACAAGTCCCCTGGCAGGTGAGGGGGGACCTGGCACTGCCGAAGAGCCCTGGGGAGGCAGGGGATGAATTTGTGAGCAGGGCAGAGAATGGGATGGAGGAGGAAGCAACTTGGGGAAGGGTTGTTGAGAGAGGGATAAGTGAGGTTCATGGGTTGGGAGAAGTTCATGGTATTCATCAGAGACATCCCAGTGTAGGAGACACAATGTCCAGAGTGTTTACCTGAATCTGGATGGTCCCGACGCATCGGTGATAGAGGCCACACATTAATCAACTCTATGCAGTGCACAGAGATGGGTTCTCAGGAGGGGTTATTTACTCCTGCAAAACACAGATGTTTAAATAACTTACCAAGCCTTCAGTTTAAGCCCCAGTCAGGTTGTCTTCTTAACTTGTCTCTAGATTTGAGTGGTGGAAGAGGTCTTTTCAGGGATTAAATTGGGCATCCACACCAGACTGCGCCAGAGGAAAGTGTGGCCATGTGGATGTCTCTCTGGGAGAGCCTCTCACCTGCAATCCTGACCAGCACCCCAGGAGCCAGCCTGCCTAACCCACAAAATACCAGCAGTTCCCTAAAAAAGGGACAAAAAGACTACAAGGGCACCCAATGCCTCCCTGCAACCAGAGTAGGCTGCTAGAACTTGGCTTCCTCTCTGTGGTACAATCCTGCAAACAGCATATTACTAAAATTAAAATAGTGGTACCTTTAAATTAGTAATACTCAGGTCACTGAAGAAGATGCTAAGAAACTGCTTAAATTTTTCAGAGACACAGGAGAGGGTAGACCACCCATTAGGGAATGAATTCAATACAGCCCCTTTTCAATCCAGTTTGGCTCCCATCTGCTTCTTTGAACTAATTAGTTCAAGCAGGCCCCAATTAACGAGCTGCTAATAAAGCCTGAGGGATAGTTCTACAACAATATTAACGTAATCACTCAGCAGTTATCTGTTTATGTCACAGTTCATGTTTCCCAAGCCCTCTGGAGGGCTCTTTGGTCAGTGCTGCCCCTGGCCCTGCCTCTCTTCTCGCTCAGAGGTTGCTCCTCAGCACCCTTCAAAGCAAGGCACCCATTTTGGGGAGCATGCGGTGATGCACAGCAGATCAAAGCTTGCCAGTCCCATGGGACGGACTCTAATTTACTGAAATACTCCCATCTTAGCAATTAACCTGCCCTGCCTACTTCTGCCCTGCCAGGGTTTAAATGCAGACCCTGATGGGAGGACACTGATGGCATTGCCTATGCTCCTAATCAGGGGCACTTCCCAGCTATTGCCTGAAGGAGGGAGCATGACTGCAACACCCCATGTCCCCTGTGCCATGGATGATGGGCAGAAGTATTAAGGACAATCTGTTCTTTATAATTGCTGAATTTTTTTTAATAACCACCCTGTGAATTGTGCTGTGAATGTGCTATTTCTATAGAGACAGGGGATGCTGCGTGTGCACCAGTGGCCACTTGCTGCTCCTCCAAAAGGGAATGCCTGGAGCCACAAGCCAAGAAGCATTTGAAAGCTTTCCCCTCTCAAGGAGAAGGTCCTGGGGTGGTCCTGGTGCTGATATGATTTTGAGATGGTCAACGAGGGCCTGTTCTCCGGTGCTGGCTGATCCTGTCTGACCTCAAGAGCATAGTGTGGGTGGCTGCTCAGAGGAAATAAAATAAAAGCAACTTCTTCCAGCCATGCAGGGCCAGTGTTTCTGGCAGAAGAGGACAGGAGCCGGTGGCCACTGTGGAGCCCCTCGCTGCCAGTCCTGAGCCAGGCATGGTGCACCCTTGGCTTGACCAGGCAGGAGGCAAAAGCCAGAACTTTTGAAGCCAGGGCTGGGGCTAAGCTATGGCCAGGGGTGAGAAAACATTTTGCTGGAGTCACTAAATGGTGGCTATTCCCTGTTGCATTAATGTTCCT